CACATTTTCTCGTCTTCTTGGGCATTAACTGCCTGCCATCTGACGGATACACAACGCATTGTAATCGTATATCTTCCTTGATGGATTGTAAGCACCCTGCTCTGAAAAATTGGAAATAAAGAAATTGCATCCAGCCCCACCCGATGCAGTTGAGCATCAACCCATGAACCAAGAGTTCATGATTTGATTCCCAGTCATGGCACATGCCCAGGTTGCAGGTTTGATCCCCAGTAGGGGATGTGAGGAGGCGGCCGAGCGGTGATTCTCTCTCATCACTGATATTTCTATCTCGCTCCCTCTCCCTTCCTCACTCTGAAATTAACAAAAACATATTTTTTTTAGCCGAAACCGGTTTGGCTCAGTGGATAGAGCGTCCGCCTGCGGACTGAAGGGTCCCAGGTTCGATTCCGGTCAAGGGCATGTACCTTGGCTGCGGTCACATCCCCAGTAAGGGGTGTGCAGGAGGCAGCTGATCGATGTTTCTGTCTCATCGATGTTTCTGACTCTCTATCTCTCTCCCTTCCTCTCTGTAAAAAAAAATCAATAAAAAATATATTTTAAAAAACCATATTTTTTTTAAAAGAAATTACATCCAGAATCTCACCTGTCACCAGCAATCAGTCATGTCTCAGAAAATGTTTTCCAATTCAATCAACAAACATTTTATGAGCATCCCCGATGTCAGCAGGCCAGTCCCCAGGATAGTCTAACTGGGAGCGTAACTCTGTCCAGCCTCATGGGGCTGTCCGGCTAGAGAGCAAGATGGGCATTTACCAAACAATCGCGAAAACATCCACGTGAAATGTAGTTGGGAAGAGAACCAAAGTAACAGAACCAAGAGCTGTGAGAGGAGGAGAGATTGACCATGGGGTGGGAGGGAAGACTGCCCCACACAGGGATCGGTCTGTGCTGATGGGGGGGGGGGGGGATGTAGGGGCTTTGGGAGGGAGAGGTGATGGGAGTGGGCAGGATGGGGTAGGTAGAACCTTGTAAACCTCAGGTTCTGTTAGGTCAGTGGTTCTCAACCTTGGCTGCACATGAGAATCACCTGGGAATCTTTTTAAAATCCTGATTTCTGGGCCTCATTCCGGAGGTGAGACACAAGAAGCAAGTGACCACAGGGAAAACGGCGAAAGAAGGCAGCCAGATGAAGAAAAAATGGCCGAGGCGGGAGGAGGGCAGCCTGAGATGGGTGATGGACCAAGAGAGAATGGGATGTAGGGAGGCGATACCCCCCCTCCACCATGTCAAATACCAGGAATGGGCCATAAGGCCCGAGGTGGGATCCCTTCAATGGGCAACTCTCAGCGAAGTGACCTCACTGCAGGAGAGGGGGTGTGGGGTGCAAGACTTCCTTTCCCAAATTAAAAACCCACATTTGCAAGGGCAAGAGTTCAGACCCCAGGTGACAAACGGGTTGAGAGTATGTTGTGGGAAACCGCTTATTGTCTTCACTAGCTGATAAGCGTAGACAGAGAAACCCCCTAAAGGCTGGGTACCTTTGAAGCCCTAGCAAAGGTCAGAGCTGGGCGTGCACCTCTGTTTGTCCAGACAGTGGTAGCTGAAGCAACTTCCCCATTTATTATTATGTAAATAATATTATTTACATAATATTATTTATTTACATTTATTATTATGATGGGCTAGTCTGCCTGTTGCCGGGGGTCGCCTGCCTAAGGGCTATGCTATGGGTGTATCCCAGATCAATAAAAGCTTGGTGAGGCCTGAGCACAGGAGGAAGTCCTTCCCCTTGAGTTGGACTTGCCTGCCTGGCCCCCAATATTTCCAAATGATCTCTTGTCTCTTCTCTTTCATTTGTGTGCAGCTCCTCTTCCAGATCCTGAACCCTGAACCACGCGGGACGTGAGGGAAACATTTACCACAGTATGTGTACTAAGTGCCAGGAGGAGAAATCGGAAATAC